GGCCCCGGTTACAAATGACGAATTGAGCCCCCATAAAACCAGAAATTATACAAAATTTTACAATAAAATACAAATAGACTAGATAATTCAATGAAATAAAAATTTTATAATGGGCCTGTTTGTATTTCAACGGCTGGGGTGCAAAGCCCTGCCTATATCAGCGTTTCCAGTTGGAGAAAAATGGTGTTTTGGTACAAAAAGTTGTTTTCTAAACATCCCCAATGTTTAAAGTACACAAATTAGACAATCTAAGGGGTACCCCCAACATAGATTTTAAAGGATTTTTAAAGATTGTAAATCCTTGGATTGTAAAAGTTATGGACCTTTTGAAATATGAAATAATACATAACATTAAAAAAATCAACCTATAACTACTACCACATACTAAATTTTTGGAGGCCCCCTATAAGAATGGACCCCGGTGCTAAACACCTATTGCACATCCTAAAAGACGGCCTTGATGAGATAGAGTAAAGAAAATATGGAAAGGATCTTGGTTATCCATAGCAACTCCACTGTGGAGTATTGGAGTTACTACTACAGGGATGGATGATCTAGATATGTTTGGATAAACTTTTCCAATTTTCCAAGTAAATTACCTTGATAATAGGCTTCTCAGTCATTATTCTTGTGACCCAGTCAACAACAACAACAACAACATCCAAGCCTTAGTCTCAAAAGATATTGGGGTCGGCTAACATGAATCGATACATGATATCACAATCAAAAGGAAGAGAAGGAAAAAAGATAAAAAGATAAGCTATTATGAAAAGATAATATAAAAAAGATGAATATATATAAAAATGATAAAATAAAAAGGCTGCAAATAATGCATATATATATATATATATAAGGATAAAAAAAACTAGGAAGAAAAAAAAAGATGAGGGAAAAAGATTATCAAGATCACTCCTTCACGTGAATACCCGCCCTCCACTTAGTTCTCTCCAAAGTCATGCCCTCATCCAACCCCAGAAGAAGCATATCACTTCGAACTCCCCTAACCCACGTCTGTTTGGGTCTTCCTCTCCCTCTCTTCCCTGCCTCTTCTCCACACATCTCAACTCGCCTAACAGGTGCATCACTCGGTCTTCTACGCACATGACCAAACCACCGTAGGCGCGACTCCCGCATCTTGTCTTCAATAGGTGCTACTCCCACCCTTTGTCTGATTGTCTCATTCCTCACGCGGTCCTTCCTAGTATGCCCACACATCCAACGCAACATGCTCATCTCTGCCACACTCATCTTTTGAATGTGACATTGTTTCACCGCCCAACACTCTACGCCATACAGTAATGCAGGCCTAATTGATGTCCTATAAAATTTACCCTTCAGTCTAGTCGGCATACCTCGGTCGCATAGAAATCCTGACGCACTCTTCCACTTCATCCACCCTGTTCTGATTCTATGGGATACATCTCCCTCTAACTCACCGTCCTTCTGAATTATGGAGCCCAAGTAACGGAACATATCGCTGACTGGTATCTCCTTACCATCCAGAGTAATTCCGCTATTACCACTACTTCTACCTCCACCAAACTTGCACTCCATGTACTCTGTCTTGCTCCGACTTAGTTTGAAACCCTTATTCTCCAATGTTTGTCGCCATACTTCCAACTTTGCTTTAAGACCTGATTGCGTCTCATCATTCAATACAATATCGTCGGCAAACATCATGCACCACGGTATATCATCTTGAATTGACTTCGTAAGTTCATCCATGACTATGGCAAATAAGAAAGGACTCAAGGCCGATCCTTGGTGCACTCCGATAGTAATAGGGAACTCTTCAGTCCTCCCTACACTAGTACGAACACTTGTAGTACAATCCTCATACATATCCATGATGATGCTGATATACTTGCGTGATATGCCTTTCCTAGTTAAGGCCCACCAAAGAACTTCTCGAGGTACCCTATCATATGCCTTTTCTAAGTCAATGAACACCAAATGCAGATCCTTATGAGCATCTCTATACTTCTCCATAAGTTGACGAAGAAGGTGAATAGCCTCAGTTGTTGAGCGACCAGGCATAAAACCGAATTGATTCTCTGAAATCTTCACAGTCCTTCGAAGTCTTTGCTCAATCACTCGCTCCCAAAGTTTCATGGTGTGACTCATAAGCTTAATCCCTCGATAGTTGGCACATTCTTGTACATCACCTTTATTCTTAAATAAAGGGATAAGAGTACTCTTCCTCCAACTCGTTGGCATCTTGTTGTTTCTCCAAATCATGTTGAAGAAACTTGTTAGCCACTCGACGCCTCTCTCTCCCAAACTTCTCCAAGCCTCGATCGGTATGCCATCTGGCCCCATTGCTCTTTTCCGTCCCATCTTCCTCAGAGCTTCTTTAACTTCCGTTGTTTGGATCCTTCTCACAAAATCACGGTTTACCATACAATCTGGTATGGACAAATCGCCGATATCTTGCGTTTTGTTCCCGTTGAATAGTGTATCAAAGTATGACCTCCAACTCTCTTTTATCTCTCCGTCGTCCATTAATATCCTCTGATCAACATCCTTCACACACTTAACTTTTGCAATATCTTGAGTTCTGCGATCACGAAGACGAGCAAGTCTATAAATATCTAGTTCTCCTTCCTTAGAGTCCAACTTTTCATACAACTCCTTGTTCACTTTCCCTCGTGCTTCCCTTACGGCTTTCTTTGCTTGTCTTTTAGCCTCCTTGTATGCTTCTATGTTCTCATCACTCCAATTTGTCCCCAACTTTTTGTAGCAATCTCTTTTGTTCCTTATGGCTTGTTTCACCTCATCATTCCACCAAGATGTGTCCTTTTTAGGTGGCCGGCATCCTTTAGATTCTCCAAGTACCTCCTTTGCCACTTTGTTAATGGTCAACTCCATTGATAACCACACATCATCCACCTGTGTTTCATTATCAATACGCCATACATCTTCACCGACCATTTTGTGTGTAAAGCTTTGTTGAAGATCTCCCTCTAGCCTCCACCACTTTATCTTTGGCTCCATTTGTTGTTTAACTTGTCTTCTATGGTTCTTACCTCGAAAGTCAAGCACAAGCATCTTATGCTGAGTGACAACACTCTCACCTGGAATAACCTTACAATCAGTGTAGCTAGTTCTCCCAGTGGTCCGTACTAAGAAGTAGTCAATTTGGGTACTATTAGCTCCACTTTTATAGGTTACAAGGTGAGAGTCTCTTTTCTTAAACCAAGTGTTCATTATAGCCAACTCATACGTCAAGGAAAAATCCAAAATGTTCTTTCCCGCCTCATTCCTAGTGCCAAAACCATGTCCGCCATGAATATTCTCAAAGCCATCACGACTCGAGCCCACATGCCCGTTGAGGTCACCTCCTATGATCAACTTCTCTCCCCTTGGCACTCGTCGCACCACGTCTTCAAGATCTTCCCAGAACTGTTGAGTTGTAGATGCATCCAATCCTACTTGTGGTGCATAGACACTTACCACAGACACAATCTCACATCTTATCACCAATTTAATGCTCATGATGCGATCGTTCTTCCTGAAGACTTCTACCACATCATCAACATAGTCACGCGCCACAATAATGCCTACCCCATTTCTAGTCTTATCTCTCCCCGAATACCACAACTTAAAACCTCTGGGATTAATCTCGCGTGCTTTCTCTCCAACCCATTTAGTTTCTTGCACACACATAATGCTGATATTCCTTCTGCTCATAACCTCGACTACCTCGGAAGATTTCCCTGTAAGAGACCCAACATGGAAATCTTCCGAGGTAGTCGAGGTTATGAGCAGAAGGAATATCAGCATTATGTGTGTGCAAGAAACTAAATGGGTTGGAGAGAAAGCACGCGAGATTAATCCCGGAGGTTTTAAGTTGTGGTATTCGGGGAGAGATAAGACTAGAAATGGGGTATGCATTATTGTGGCGCGTGACTATGTTGATGATGTGGTAGAAGTCTTCAACTGTGCACATCGCTTTGTTTTCCATAAAACCATAAGGGCCTGTTTGTTATGGTGTAAAGTAAACATTTTGTGTGCAAAATATTGAGATATAAACATTTTGTATGACTACAGTCAATTTGAATGTAAAAGTTTTGCATGTAAATGTTTAATGTGTGAACTACTAAACAAGCCATAACTCTAAACTCTAAGACCGAAACCCCAAACTTGAATCCCAAATCCCTATACTGTAGTCAAAACTCAAAAGATCGTAGAGAAAACATTGTAGTCAAAACTCAAAAGATCAAATGTCCTATCAAAAGACCTTCAATCAACGCATCACCACCATATTGTGAGCTCACGATACCCACCAAGAGCATCTTGTAGAGTATTCATATCACTTAAATAATACCTCGTTCCCCTATAATTGTCCCATTTTTTCATTTTTGGATGTCGCTCTATTATTGTCTCATACCATATTTGGTAATATTTGTGTGGTTCTAATTTATTCTTACTTTATTCCCACTTTATAAATCACATAATTCTACTTTTCTAAAAAATCACACCACTCTCTTCCGTCCACTATTAGGAAGACGGAGGTAGTAACACTAGATCAATAATGCTTTACTAAACTTGGTTTTTTAGCAATCCATCTAAATAATTTCAAAACTTACGAAAATTCAATGATCTAATTGAATTTCAATCACTAATAGTGAACATAATTGTATATTTGTATGTGTCAAGTATGTTTGAGACAATTATTTTCTTACAATTCATTTTGCCCAAGTACGGAGTACATAAGAAAATAACATACGATTATTTATAAACTACACCCATATTTTAATGAGAAATTACCCAAAATAAGACTAAAAACGTTTCTATATTCCAAAATAGGATTATCATGTTTTTATTCCTAAAATATGACTAATTACTGTCATATTTTGACAATACTAGATTTTAAACATGACATTATTTTAAACTAGATTTTGAGAATAAAAACATGACAATAATTTTCAAACTTTTTTACTCCTATTTCGGGAATTCCCTATTTTAATATATTGATCTTTACATCATAGAATAAAGAAACAGAAGATGATTGAAGTTGAACAAATGTGTACAATAAATTCATACTGTTTGAGTCAAATAATGAAATCTTTTTGTTTCCAAATATATTCTTTCCTCACAAGTCACAATGGTTAACTCTATTTTCCCTCCATTTGCTTTCCCAAGGCCCCTAGTTAACAAAGTACCGTCTCATTAAAACACTATTAGAGGGAGTAGTATACTACTAGTATATTGGGGTTTAAGCTTGCTTTGCAGAACATGATTCATCTTTTCTCCAATATATTCACATTTCCCCGCCAAGCAAACAGGTTAAAAACTGAACAAATGAAACCGAATTTCAACCTGCCACACTAGGAAAACAAAAATCTATTCGTAGAGATGGAAGCCAAACAAGATCAAATGCAAGTGCATTTTTTACAAAATGCTTGGGAGCTGAGAATCCAGTCTCTGCTGCAACTGCTTGACCTGAGCTGAGAGCTCTGCCTTCTGCTCCTCATATATATGCAGCCGATATTCTTTCCTTTCAATGGTTTCCTTCAGTTCGGCCACTTCAACCTTCAGCATCTCTATCCTTTCTCCATCCCCTCCTCTCCCCCCATTTTCTGATGATTTCATCAGATATCTTTCAGCTTCAACAAAGTGGCCATTTCCATACCCATTCCTTCCTCCTTCAAAATGACCAAAGGAATCCACTTGCCTGACACAACGATCCGCGATTACCTTCCTTAACCTCTGCATTTCCCTCTCTGCATCAAAAAGATCACTGTTGGCAACATCCAGCAAAGTCTGGAGATGCGAGGAATGGGAAAGCTGAGCGGTCAATGAACCCTGCAGCTCCACAATCTGTTCCTGCATCTCAAGTATCATTTCGTCCCTTCTTTTTAACTGTTGTCTGAGCTTTTGTATCACTTCTCGCTTGCTGAAAATGTCAGACCCGGATTCAGAGACACATGGTGACTCAGAGCTGTTTGAGTGGTGGAATGGTTTCTGTGGCAGCTCAAGAGGGTCAGAGGTGGTGGTTGACCATGCCCCACCATTCAAGTCTTTACTTAATTCAAGGGAAGAAGGGACAGTGACTAGAGGAAGTTGGAGTCCAGTTTCTGTCAGTACTTGGCCGCCGCACTGCTGTTTCATATCCATCATGTTACCTGTTCCTGTTTATTCATTTAGGATTGGTGAAAGAATTGCATAAACGTTTACAAAGAATAGTTGGAGTAGACCAAAAATTAGATAGCGGGTTCTGGTGGGCTTAGTTTATAACTCTAATTTGATGAGTAGAATGAGGGAGTTTCTAAAACCATATAAATGGTGACCAAAACGTTGAATGATCGCATAATAAGTTAGTCTTTTCATTTGTATAAATATCAAGTGTATATAATAAGAATTATTCAAAAGATGAATTAGAGATCTAAATCGTTATCGTTATATATATAAAAAGGGGGCCGTGGAGCATAACTGTTCCTGCCCGGAACAGCTTTTGCCAGTATTATCGGTACAACATCTGATTAATTATTAATATCATTATTGTTAAAAAACAGTTTCAATCCAGTAAAAAAATAGAACAGTTTCTACTACATCCATCAACAACTCTTGCACGTCCCAGCCCACTCACAACTAAATAACCGCTTCATCAACCTGTACAAATAACACTCACTTAGACTCAAACGACACATCCAATTCCATTCAAAAGTGCGAAAGTATTTTTCTATGCAAGTGTTATTTCTACAAATCTTACTTTTTAACATTTATAGCGTCATATTGCTTCATTTTTGTTTGTGAGTTGCAGCTACATCAAGGGACCACATTTTTCAACAAAATCTACAAGCAGTGAGAGTAAGGCCGTGAGGGTCATCTGTTCCTATGCTCTGCCAGCGTACAACAACACGTGCTATTACAAACTCCAACAACAACATGTTGCTATTACAAACTCCAGGGATTGCATTTTCAATGATGATGAGGTAGAATAAAACACTATTTAGAATAATTATTATTTTGAACCTTTACATGCCATCAACTACGTATTTTGAAACTCAAACATTAAACTCTACATAAATTACTTGGTACTGTATGTAGAACTTTATACTACGTATATTATACAGGGTGATTGAAGTCATGCAACCATTAGGTGGGAAAAGGTGGATGAATTCAATTTACCTTATTTAAAGTTTTAGGACATGGAAACCATTTGTTATGACTACGGCCTAAGGGGAACAAGAAAGAAAAACAAAAGCATACTGAGCAGGTCGATCTAACGTCATACACCTCCATGGCTACATAATTAATGACGATGGCTAAACGAAGCTAGGAAAGCGTTCGTGATCAAGGTGAAAAGATGTGAAGCGGTGAAGATTAACCCTCTAGGATATTTAGCCAACGTCTGTCTATAAGACTATAAGTAGGCGATTTTCTATTTATGACTTCCCTAAATCTTTGTTTTGCAATACAAAACACTATTTACCCTTATTTAAGTTACTCTAGCAAGTTTCCTATATTATGATTGCTCTAAATTGTGTTCACACAATCTGATCTGTCATGTCTTATGTAGTATATATTCTGCTTTAAGTGGGCTGTAAACATTAAATTAAATATAAATTTTATTTCTGTATTTCATAAGTTTCATGTGTACGAGTTTATTACGTAGTAGTATTTACCCTTTAACTTTATTATACTTATACATCAAGAGTGAGCACTTAAAAAAAGAAAAGTATAATGAGTGATGATAAATATAAAAACAACATATGCACACTGAGTTGAAACATTAAAAAACTGGCAGTTCATTTTAAAGAAATTTTCTGCCTTTGGTACTAAAGAAGTGTTAAAACGTGAAATTACTTTTGTTCTACTCCATAACCCATATTTCTTTGATTATTAAATGCATATAGATGTAGATGTGTAATAAGTACTGTTGTATTACAACGGGTGTGATTCAATTTTGTTGTATCATATGCAATGATGATTAACAAAAGTCAGAGTCAGTCACTTTCTCATATTGAGTTATTCCTGAAAATCTTTGTATTTTGTCACGACCAACGTGTGTGACTGTCTCACATGTTACCAAACGTGAAAAATTTAAAATATTCATAAGCAACGGTTCCTCAAGTAGTTCCACAATAAATGTTTTATATTCAGAAAATTTTCAAAATGTGTAGTATTCTCTACCATGTACTACATAGTTTTATGTATGCACTCACTATAAGTGCTTAAAAATGTTTCTTTTCATTGTATCATGTGAGTATTTCAATGTTGTTCTAACAAATGTGTTACATTAATATTTCGATATATGCATTTCATCATTAAAAGATTAAACATTTTTTTGCCCCGTGCATCATGGGTACTAAACTAGTAGAACATAACTAGTAAACCTTTTATACGAAGAAATGTGGTGATATATGATGAAGTAATAGCAACATAACGGTGCCCAAATGATGATACTTGACTTCTGTGTTTTGAATTAAAACAAATCAATAGAGTTAATAAAATAAAAAGAAAGCCAAAAAAAAAAAAACTAAAACAGAAAACAAAATAAAATCAATCAATAAATAAATAATGCATATAGAGTTGCAGACTAGGCCTTCCGCAGTCTTTCCCCTCCAACCCTCCATCCATACAGACCCTAGGAAACTTTGAATAAGCATTATGATAAAGCATTGCAAGAATGCCATTAGAGAATAATACCCAGCCTTGTTTCAGGTGGAAGAATGTATACCGAGTATTGAAAAGTGAGCCAAGTAGCTCGTTGTTGAAGAGTCTTGAATAACAAGAGCTCTATTGATATTATATAACTTGATCCTACATCCTTCATAGATATATAACACCATCATAAAGGTAGGTATTAACCATTTTACCTACTCAAGAGACTCTTAGACCACCTAAGACCTTGGACTAACTTGGAGAGGAGTCTTGTGTAGAGACTCTTCACGGACATGAGAAAAATGTGAAACAAAAAAGTTCTTTTAAGGCCCTAGATGTATCAGGAAATAATAGAGCAGGAGGAGCAGAATGAATCCTGGGAAACATGTACTTAAGGCCCTAGCTGTAACAAGAAATAATAGCTCAATGGTTTATAGAAAGAAGGGAGCAAAGAAGTTTTTTCCGTCTATTTTTCCAAAGCAGATTGAAATTTACTGCAAACAAAAAAAATCGCACTTCATCGTTGCTGTAAGCAGCAAAGTAAAGAGAAACTGTGGATACACAAGAAGAACTCAAGATAAAGCCTTAAACAATCAACATAGACAAAAGCAGCAATTGGATGCTGAAAGAATTTTCAGACCTGAAAGGAAATTATAGCAATTGTCATCAGCTTGGGTGAAATTGTATGTGCTAGACTGTAAATTGCAATTTCTAGCTTTCCTTCTCTCTGCAGGTTTATCATTTCCTGTACTCGAACAATTATACAAACTAGTCATACAAACTAGGAAAATGAATTATCCTTGTAAGATAACCCACGATTAATGAACCAATAGTCTAATACAAGACCTTTAGAAGTGTTGCCAGTTACACTCTGTTGTTTTGCATCAAGTATCTGCTTGAGCTTGTAGCCCAAGCGAACTGACAAAGTACTCAATAAAGCACCACCTGCAATTAGGACCCAGTTTGACCCCTCACCCTGCAAAGCTGCAGACCTCTTGCCCCTAGATGTCCCATTGATACTTGGTTTCATTTTAAGAGTTGCCAGGGTATTGAGTAAAATGGTTGCAGATCACCAACACAAACATGCAGAAGAAAAGCAGCATACTAGGTCCAACTGAACCCGCCAAGCATGCCTTGCATCTCTAAGATTAGCAAAATCATGAGCAGAGTTAAACCGGAGATTTCAACATATATCAGAATCAAGGAAAGAATGAGTGACATTTAAGGAAGACATGAAGTAATGCCATCTTCTTAAAAGTAAAAAATTATTCAAGAAATCAAAAGATCTGTATGATCTAAAACGATTGATTATTTAAAAGGAAGGTGGAATAAAAAAAGGTATACACTATTCATATTTGTTCACCCTCACTACCATTGAATATTGAAATGGGATAAATTCTCTTCAGATAGAGCAAGACTACACCTTTAGATTAAAGAAAACCGAAGACTTTCATAAAGCTATTTTGGACCTATTTCCATAAAATTCATCCAGTAAGTAAAGAACTTATTACAATAAGCAGAAAACATTTGGAATCCCGTGTAAGATATTTGAACTTATAGAGATGTGATTATCTTATAAGCATTTTTTAAAGCTGTTTGTCCAAATTGGGCCTTCAAGAGAACAGGTTCATGAGTCCATATTGAATAAACAGCCAGCTGTATTCCATCAGTCATGTGTTCTTCACTTCTTTAATCCAAGCAGTTATTGAAGTCAATTGAAAATGGTTTAAAGAGAACACTCTAGTCCCCAATAGTGCCTAATTGCAAATCAGTATATCACAGCCAATTATACATTCACTCTTAACATAACTCCCATATCAAAGAACAGAAGAATTAATAATCATCCCCAGGTCTCCTTGCAGAGTTGCAATAATGCTACCCGGATAGATGCCCATCAAGTAGTGGTTTAATGAAGTACTTGTAAATCTCTCTATATATAAAAGCTGGACCCGCCTGATGTCACTACGACATCATCATTATGCCATTAAATTTCGGCTCTTCTCCGTACTAAGGAGACACCCTGTCGGCGTATTGGTAGGTCATTAAATTAGAGCTTAAGAAGACAGTTAGTAAGAATCGACTAACCTCGGTCGGTCGGTCGGTTGGTCGGGATATTAGACGAACGGCGTCGTGTAGGCTGCGTCCGACTAAGGGGAAGAGGAGGAGCTGGAAATGGAGAGAGGAATATAGCGTGTACGGAGAGAAAAGCGGGCGGTAGAGGAAGATGGTGGAGTAGATCCGAAGATTTGGTACACGATCGGTTACCTTATTGGACTGGATCAGACATTTGGGCCAATACTTTTAAATCATTTTATTTGGTAGATTTTAAAGGGATTGTACTGCCTCATGCTTTTAACATTTTCTAAGGGGTTGCACGGTCCAATCCGATCCAATATTTGTCGAACCCGTATCTGTATCGTGCCTATTGAAATGGTTCAAAAGAGACGGTATCATGTCATACTTCCAAGTGATTCAAGTGTTTAAGAGGAAATTAAACCAAACAATGTCATTTTTTTCCAAATGTTTAAGCGGAAATTGTAGTTTAGTCATCCTTCAAAAATCAACAAAATTTCTCAATTTTCATCTTATATAATTAATAATTTCAGATAACATATAGTACTACAAATTTAAAAAATTAAACCATACTTAAGTACGGTTATAGGCTTCTAGTGAATTAGTAAAGACTGTGAAAGTGCGAAGCCGCGAATGCACTAATTAAAGTAATAATATACATGTACATTTAAATAATTTAACCATAATTCAGTCCAGTTCCACCTGATACTAGTTCTCATTTTATAAGAGCTGGTCATAACATTGTTTGGAACTGGTACAGTCCGATTAGGCATGGATTCGGGCCGGGTCGAGCCCGGGTCGGGCCTAGGCCCGGTCGGGCCGCCGGTGTGTGAATGGTGGGCCCGGGACCGGCCCGAGGTACTGGCAATTCCGGTTCGGGCCGGGCCACCCGGCCGGGTCACGGGTCGGGCCACCCGCCGGGCCGGGGCGGGCCGGTTAGATCCATTTTTTATATATAATTTATACTTTATAGTTTTATACAAGTATTAAAACCAAACTTCAAGTGCATTTATTTGAAATGAAATACGAACTACATTAGACAATTGGGAAACAAATACAATATGAGATGAAGAGCCGATATGTGATTTACCTTTGCGGGATTTCTTCCTCGCAAGCTCGTTCGTTCGGTTGCGCTCCAGGTTACCCATATCAACCGAATATCTACCACCTTCCATCTTAAAATTGTAATCTAAGTAATACAATATATGTATTTATAAGTAGATAATTAATATATAAGTAGATAAGAAATATAAGTAATATATTGGAGAATAAGAGAATTTGAGAAGATGAATAATATAAGTTGTTGGTAGAAAATAACCCGGGTAGAGAATTCGACAGCATTCCAGTGTAGTAAAAATAACTTGGGTGAATACAAGGGGTTAGAGGCCTATTTATAGGCGTATACAACAAGTTCAATCATAAAAGGCTACATGGGCTTGGCCCGATTTATTAACTAATACTGACGCTAATGGGCCAGCCAGCCCGGTAAGTAATTAAATAATCCTAGACCAATATCCGTTAGCCGGACTGTGTTATGAGCTTGGTCAGACCAAAGTTCGGGTGTAACAGGCCGATAGTCTTGGACCCGGCCCATTATCCCAACACGAGTCCCCCACTCCCTTAGTCGAGTAGTAGACTCGGCTAAAAGGGAGTAGTTAAGCAGTTTTGGAATCGGTCTAGTTCCTGGTCCGGCCAACCGGTCATTAACGAGCCTTGAATTTGATCCAATTGCTTGTGAAAGGATGAAATCTTCCTTGTTCCGAACGGGAGACCTCTTCCTTTGTCCATGATGAGGGAGTGCCTCGTTAAAACCTTACTAGGAAAACCCGATGGGATAAAATCCTAGTGAAGGAAAAGGAGTACACCGGAACCTTAAAATGAAGCAAAGGAAGGTTAGTCCCCTCGGTTCTTGATTGAGTGTATGCTTTACTGGTAAGCAAAGGAAGGCTAGTCGCACGTCTATTTGCCAATGGTGGCGGTCGAGCCGAAGTATGCTCGGGAGAAATCACTTGCATAATTGTTTGTTATTGATGCTAAGCCGAGGTATGCTTATGAGAGGTTGGTTCCACAACTGTCTGTTGATGATGTCGAGCCGAGGTGTGCTCGGGAGAGGCCTCCAGCTCAGTTGTCCACTGATGATGATCAGGTGAGTTATACTCTGAAAAGGCCGGTTGCACAGCTGTCCACGTTGATCCCCACTGCTTGCGAAAGGATTTGGTTTCCTTCATATGGGTTGCAATCTGAGTCTTGTTTGTTCATTTATTAACCTGATTTCTTGTTCGTCCCATTAGCAGCCAAAAGTCTTGTTTGTCCTATTAGCAGCTCGGGGTCTTGTTGTCCGACTAGCAGCCAAGGGTCTTGTTTATCCTAATAGCAGTCTTGGGTCTTCACTTGTGAACAATGCTCGTCTGACATTCTCAGAAGGATGCTGTGAGTAGTCCACCATGATAAGTAGTCCTTGTTGATTGCTATTACTACGGTGTCATTTGACCTTCAAGCTTCCCCTGATTGGATGTAAGATTCCAGACTGAGAGCGATGCTTGGAGGGGGACTCCCTAATGCAGAGTAAGGGAGCGATGCTTGGACGACTCCTTGAATTGATTCAGGGAAAGAGATCAATACTTGGGTGACTCATTCCTTGTTGTTTGTTGAATCGGTGAGAGAGTTCTTTTGCAGGTCCGCTCATTCATGCCGATGATCGGAGGGTTGCACCTATTTTCTCATGTGACGAGGAGCCCAAGGTGCCCCCCACCTGCTATGATTCGAGGGCGGTCGGAGTGACATGTCATCTTAATGGTCTCCGAATATCATGGATGGTGAGCGAGGCAGGACTTCCACTTTGCTTCGTCTTGATGAATGATTGTTGACAAGGGTAGCATGTGATTGCATTCGGGCTTCCAAGCTATGCATCGATCTGTGCCTCTCCAACATTGTGAGAGCACCGCTTGATCGTAGGTGGTTTGGAAAGATAGACAAACTTGGCCATATACCAGGATGACGAGATTGACGTAGAAGATGCACAAGTGACGGAATTTCCACCTTGTGATGGCATGTGTGACCAACCATGATTTATTCTTAGGAGTGAGAATCCCGATCTCGGAGCTTGGGCTGGATCTCGCCCATCGATGAGCCCATACGTAAGCCATGAACTGTCATGCACGCACAAGCTCGGCGAGGGGACAGCCCCGGACGAACTTGACCTGGAGGTAGCCCTGCACGAACTTGGGCTGGAAATGAGTGTGCGTGACTCGACATGGATGGTGAGGTGATGATTGGTGGCCTTGCCATGACCACGTACTTGGTTTGAATTACAAAGAAGAGCTTGAACCGGTGTTGGGTAATCTAAACTCAGGCGTGGACGGAGAAAGCAGAGGATGCCTTGAAGGTACACAGCTTGTTATGGAGCAAATGATTAGAGCATGCTCGAGCGTGGCTGCGGCCAAGGATATGAAAGTTCTGTCCGAGCTTAAATCGAAGTAAGACCAGCTGGAGTCGTCGTCCCGGGATGCAGGGCATAAGGTAGTTACAGTGTTAAAGCATTCCCAGTGATTTCATAGTTTGCAAGCTCTAGGCTCGAGGCCCGACCTCCGGAGCATGTCCGGGCATCGAGGATGTAGTAGACGAGTCAGTTGCCATGTTCAATGTCTCCCTAAAGTTTTCGGAGCTTGTCATTTCACTACTAGAAAAGCAGCTTACAGCGACACTTGTTCAGTGTCACTATGATGTCACTAATACATTTACGATACTTACATATCAGTAACTAATGACATTAATACATCAACACATAATAGTGACACTTTGAGCTGAATTTATAATTTAGTTTTAGTTTTTAAAATTTCCTAAACCTAACACATTTATACCATCGTTACATTCTACTTCCTTCACCTCCGATCCCCCTCCCCCTTTTCTCTCTTGCTTCCAGACTTATTTTACATCTGCTCACGATTCCCCTTCTTTCCAGACTTATTTTACACCCGTCACAGGCAGGATGAAGACGATGCCGATGCTGCTCCGGATGACTTCGACGAAGACGCCATTGCCGCTGCTCCGGACGACTTCGACGAAGACGCCATCGCCGCTGCTCCTGACGACTTCAACGAAGACGCCGCCGCAGATGCTCGTGACTACTTCAACGAAGACGATGTCGGTGCTACTCTCGATGAACGTTGCTGCTCCCGATGACCGCTGCTGCTCCAGACGACTTCGACTCTAGTTCTTCTTGAATTCACCGATTCTCCGATTCTTCTTGGACTTGGGTTCTCTAATTCGTCACTAATTTGCCAGTTCTCTCAGATTCATCTCTAGCCTGACCAGTTAATCACCAGCTTTCGTATCTCTTTAAGTTTCCTTTATAGAATTTTACACTTTCCTTATGCATTCAAGGTTTTTTTAGTTTGATTTAGCTTCTGAAATTCGTGCCCTAATGATTACAATTTCTGATGTTGTTGACTTCTCATACCATTTTCTATTGGATTTTGAATGTTATTAAATTTATAAAGACCAATTATGATTTTAAAATTCAAAGTCAAATAGATTACACTTTCGCTTTGATGTTTATGTATGTGTTTTAATGTCTTTCGTTTATATTTGTTTATTTACCAACTTGTTCTCAAATGGAAATTTGTTCGTGTCTATTTTCCTTAATTTTATATGTAGTGTGTTTTAATTTTGGTTTAGGTTTTGGTACTCTAATGCTGCAGTTTATGCCATTGTTAGCCCTTGCCTCACAAATTGTATTGGAATTTTGTGTTATATAACATATTTAGTGTATCTAAAATTTATTTAGTGTATCAAAGCATAGTATAGATACATGAACGTTTCAACTAACTATTTTTAAGATGGCTAATGGCTATCTTATACTCTAAGCAGGGAAAACTATCAAACGGAACATTTGTTTTCCTTGTTCATTTCATTTGGATCTGCTCAGGAACTGCTATCACTTTTTTTCTGTCATCATTGAGGTAAGCATTATTAAAAAAAATCTTTAAATGACCAACCAACTAGTTGTGATTGCTTCTATACAAAAACTAGGGTATTTATGATGTGCAAAAAGTTTTAGGCCACATCTCTATTTATTAGCTTGATTGTTTGATCTTGGGAGTGGTGTTGATTCTCATTAGGATGAGAGTATGCATGCGCCAGTGAACTGCACATAATACTAAACTTACAGGGTACAGTTTCATCCAACCCGCAAATCAAAATGAAGGATTCATGGAAAGCTATTTAGAAGGT